ACCTAACCAGGGATTGAAGTCAGGCCCTTAAGCTTGCCAGGGAAGCACTTATTCCACTGAGCCATCTTCCTGGCCCCTAGCTAACTGTACTTAATCAAAAGTAATTTATATTTCAATAGTAAAGTTGTCTTTAAAGGACACATGGAATCATGGTGTCAGTTATTTAATAAACACCTTTCAATTTTTTTTTTTTAATTTAGTACAGGGTCTACAGCGTCTCATTACACAGATCAGACTCGTAGTTATCCTATTTTCAGCCTCCCAAGCACTGAGATTACAGGCGCGCACTGCCACCATGCCCAGTCTCAGATGTTGTCTCAGTGCACCCCAGGGATCAAACCCAGGTCACTGCGCCTGCCTAAGCAAGCACTTTTAGTCCACTGAGCTATCTGGACAGCCCTGACTCTTTCTAAAAATTTTAAATTTAGTATTGCATTAAATTGAAACCACTCTATCAAAACACCCAAAAACAAAAAGACACACTTGGGTAGTTTCCAGATATCAAAGTCTTCCTCCTACTTCCTTCTCATGAATTACTGAAAACATACTGAAGAGATGATGCTTTGATCTACAATTCCAAAAGCCAAACAGATCTAGATCTTAAATTTCACATGAGGCTCAAGCCCTCAATTACAATTGCCCCACTTTGATAACAGCTTATATTTTCTTTTTAAAGAATACACAATTCTTCTTGTAACAATCCCATAGCAAAGGCAAAAGCTTGAATGAAGGTAAAACCATAATGAGGAACTGCTGCCTCCTCTTATCTCCAAACACTGTATACATCCCTAAAACATAAAAGTTAAGCAGAGTCTACTCTTCAAATTCTGCTTCAGTAAAGTTCAAAAAATACTACGACATTATAAAATATGTTGTAAATTGAAATGTAGGCAAATGCTTCGTTATCTAGACTGTTTAAGTGCTCCTCTCAAATCATCTTACCCTCCTCTCCACAACTTTCACATTTTTCATAGCAGAAAAAAAAATGTAAGAGGAACATAAGAAACAATTAAATTTTTAAATAGCTGGCTACAGAAAGCTACTATCAATGTAGTCTGCATTATTTTAAAACTTAAAACACTTTATTTCAAAACCAACAAGACAGACATAAAATTATACTCTAGAATGAAAATTCATCCCGCCCACTGTGTAATGAAGATTCCTGGTGATTATGTCTTGATCTCAATGTTCTCTTTGAAAACTGTCTTTAAAGCTAAAAAATGTTTGTATAAAATGTCCCTTAAAAGTAAACTAGGGGCCGGGGAGATGGCTCAGCGGAATAAGCGCTTCCCTGGCAAGCGCAAGGGTCTGAGTTCAATCCCTGGTTCCACCAAAAAAATAAAAAAAGTAAACTAACATAAATGCCTTTCAAAAAGTGTGAATTTTCAATACAATACACGTTAACAGAGCTGAATCTTAAATAAGGTAGGCCTAAAAACTTCAAAATGATTGGAAAAAGACCAGCCATTTATTAATCACTGAGAAAACAAGGTCAATTATGTTAACCAAGAAAAAGTCATCTTTTCTAAGGTTTTTCTAATTAAATCAAATTGTTCCAATTGTCCTTATGGGTTTTAAACTTGACTTCATTTATAAATAATTTTCGCATCCTATTCAATATTCAACCCCATTATTTCTCAGGTTTGGAACTAAGAGATGCTATTACATAGCAGCAGCAGTTAACACCTCTTGTAATATCACATCATAACATCACTGTCAACCAGAGTGAAGACCTTTCTGTTTGGACTTTCAAGCATAAGAAAGTTCTGAATTACTGAATTACTGGTAATCTCAAATCTTCTAATTTCTGTGAAGGTATGATATAGTTAAGAAAAAGGATAGAACTAGAACAAAGGGCTAGCGAACTTAGGGAATCACACAATAAAATTTTTAGGCTACACGGCTATTTGTTACAACCACCCTCAACTCTTCAATCAGTGGTGGAAGATAACCACAAAGCATCTGTATTAAATACAAGTGTGCTCCAAAAAAGTTTACTTGTAAAAAAGGGAGGATCCCCAATATCCAGATCTAAGAGGAGTATTAGAATAATACCCCAATGTGAACTTGGTTTACATTTTAATTCTGCCTGAGTTGAAGTAAAGAAAACGTAAGTAGAAGTAAATAAACTGTGCTTAGTGAACCTCACAGACCTTGACGGCCCTGTACTGTCCCAAGCTTCACTACTCCCTCTCCATTTGTACAACTCTAACTCAACTACTCAAACTTTCCAGTCACATTTACAACATGGAAACTGGATAATACTTACTGTTTCCAAGGTCTGCTATACTGTACAGGCCTTCTAGATTATCAGTCGGGATTCTCATTTCTGTACAAGACAAAAAAGAACATAATTTTATACATAAAAAAATAGATTAAATGCCATTTATAACAAAGCTGCAACATCTTGTAAGGATCACTCAAGAGACCAAAACAAAGATATGTTTACGTACATGACAGTCCAAAGACAAGACCTAAAAGCCCAAAAGGATCTTAGATTGGCAGCGCAAGAGACTCACATCTAGAATAAGGTACCACTAAAATTACACACCTAAGGGTAGGGTGATGGTTCAGTGGAATAAGCGCTTCCTTGGAAAGCGCAAAGGTTCAATCCCCGGTTCCGCACACAAAAAAAAAAAAAAAAAAAAAACAAAACATCACACACCTATCTCAGCCCCTGAGAACTCGAAAGTAGTGAGCGCATAAATATTTGGGCTCCCTGAGTAGAAGCAATGAGCAACCAAGACTATAAAAACCCAACATCACTTGTGACAACACAGAGTTTTATTTCATCTGTCATCTTCCACCCAATCCAGTTTCAAGCCTTCTGAAAGAAAGTTTCCATTCTCCCCTGCAAGGTCACTCTTAGCATTACCATATTTCCTCACATTATTATGTATTATAATCAGCATAATGTACACAATCAAATCATCCATACTGCTAACCTAAAGAACTTGAAAGAAAACAGAATATCATTAAAAACTATTAGTTTTACTTTTATCTATTCAACTAAGGTAATGCAAATGCTAAACTGTATACTTAGTGAAAAAAAAATTTTACCTATACTTTACACTAGACTCAAATACTTGGTTACTAAACACCAAAAATGGTTCTTTGTATCTTAAATATCTCCTGGATATATGCACAAACTGTGTTAGTCACTACTGTTGAGTATAATTACAATATGTAGGGAGAAGACTAGGGACAGTTATAGCTCAGTTCTTGCATAGTGTGGGTGAGACCCTGGGTCCGGGACAAAATGTAGAAATACCAAAGGGCTGGGCTAAAGAGATAGCTCAGTAGAATAAGCGCCTGCCTGACAAGCGCAAGATCCTGAGTTCAATCCCTGGTACCACCAAAAAAAAAAAAAAAAATCTAAAGCGAAAGAGCTCTCTAAAAGTTCCAGATGAATAAAATTTCAGAAAAAAAAAACACACCCACCCCTCAACTTTAGGACTTAACTTAAAGTTAAGCTATGAAAATGCTTTATGTTTTTAGTTTTGTATTTTAGGGAAGGGACTACAAGGTGTTCAGGGTCTCACTACTAGATCCATCTATTTATAGCCTTCCAAGAGCTGGGATTACAGGCATGCACCACCACACCCAGTCTCAATTGCTGGCTTAGTGAAGCCCCACTCAGGGATTGAACGCCAGGCCGGACCCTGCACCTGCTTGCAGGCACTTTAATCCAGTGAGCTACTTGGCTGGCCCTGAAAGCGCTTTTTTTTAACACCAGCTTTCAGATTAAAAAAACAAGTCCTCATTTTACCTTAAGGAAGCTAAATGGGGGCCAGGGCAATGGCTCAGTAGAATAAGTGCTCCTCTGGCAAGCACAAGGGGGCCTGAGTTCAATCCTGGTTCCGCCAAAAAAAAAAAAAGAGAAAGCTAACTGCATTCAGCCATTTTGACAAATCACCACCATGAAAAAAAGATCTGCTTTAAAATTCCTTGAAGAGTAGGTACTCAAATATCTTCCCAGTTAACAAATACGGCTTAACTAGAGCACATTTTAACTTCTAAATTTAATCTGGGGGGCCTGCCCCTTAGCTCAGTTCTTTAAGTGGCTGCTTCAACAAAGCAGTCAGGCTCAAGTTGCTGTGGTTCGATCCCCACAACTCAAGCCAGCCAAACCTGCCCTGAAGGCATTCAGAGGAAAAAAAAAAAAAAAATCCTTATTCCATTCAGAGGGGGGAAAAAATAAAAATAAAAATAAATTTAATCTGACCTTACAATGAAGGGAAGATTTTGTGGACAAGAACTGGGAAAAACAAGCTGAATTAGCCCCTAACAGAAGGGTAGCACGGAGGTAAGAAGGAATCTTGGTGAAAGAAGCCTCTCGTCTACAACCCTCTGCTCTCCCAAAGGGACAAGGAGAATGCTAAGGAGTCTACATACACAGCTCTGATGTGCTTGTAAATTACCTACCAAGACCAGTTCTCAAGGCTCCAAACAGAAAAGACATCTTACTTTGCATCACTAAAAATACTTTGATAGCAATATGATCGGACCATATCCTCTCCCTTCCCAAAAGGGATACAGTGTGAAATAGCACCTGGCCACATTTTTAAAACAGAATGAGAGGGGCCAGTGAGATAGCTCAGCAGACTAAGCACCTGCCTTAGGCAAGCAGTGGTGCATGCCTGTAATCCCAGGGCTGGGAAGGCTGAAAACACGAGGATGAAAACAAGTCAGAGCAGCATAAGGAGAACCTGTACCAAATAAATAAACTGGAATGAGAAAGAAGAGTTTACCTTGAACAGACTACGAAAACTGGGGTTGGTATGGGGCTCAATGGTAGAGCTCCCGCCTTACATGCACAAAGCCCCAGGTTCGATCCCCCCCCCCATAAAAAAAAAAAAATCAAAGAGCTAGGTGTGGTGGTAAACACCTGTAATCCTGGCTCTCTGGAGGCTGAGGCAGGAGAATTGTTGTAAGTTTGAGATCAGCCTGGGCTACAAAGTGAGCTCAAGGCCAGCCTGAACAAACAGCAAGACCCTGTCTCAAAAAGTCAAAAATAATTTTTAAAAAAGTAAAGGAGAGGAGCCAGGGAGATAGCTCAGTGGAATAAGTGCTTCCTTGGCAAGCACAAGGGTCTGAGTTCAATCCCCAGTTCCACCAAAAAAAAAAAAAGTAAAGGAGAATTTCCAAAATACACACCCCACTGAGTTTTATTTATACGGTATGTCAAAACTTATTTGATTTTGATGATACTCAGATGTTATAGAAGCAAGTATTACTTTGAAAATATATGATTCAGGGGCCAGGGAGATGGCTCAGTGGAATAAGCTCTTCCCTGGCAAGCGCAAGGGCCTGCCTGAGTTCAATCCCTGGTTCCGCAAAAAAAAAAAAAAAATACGATTCAAACAAAATATACTCTAGTTTCCAATAATACAGGCTAATCCAGAAACAGGCAATTTGAAAATAAGTCTACATTTAGCTGGACATAGTGGCACATGCCTGTAACAGAACTTCAGAGGCTTAAAGCAGAAAGATCCGCAACACTTGAAGAGTGGCCCGTGTTAGTGAGTTCAAAGCCACCCTGAGACTGTATCTCAAAGAAACAAAGAAGTCTGTATTCAATCTGAAAGGGGATAGTACCTGGTAAAATGAGGTATTGCTCTCTGAAGCATAAAAATATCTTAAAGGGTAGTAAATAGATTTTATCAGACAAGCAATCTACAATCCCTCATTTATAATCTTGGCTAGCTGTAAATATTTCATAAAAATATACCTGACTTTAGATATACTTATTAGAAAAATCAATAACTGCTTTTATTGCAATATTCTAAATCTTCTTTGTTTAAAAATAACCTCATATTCCAATTACTTTTTCATAAGTACTTATGCTATTTATTAACATTCTGGAATACCTAAAAATGTATAACAAAGTCAATTGCCTCACCTCTGACACTATTCTAGTTGTTCCATCACAGAGGTAACACATGATTTGCAATTTTAAAATTATGAAGTTTGTATAAAATAATTTAATACTTACCATTATTTATATCCAACTTTTTTTTTTTCCCAGACATAGTTTCACTGAATAGTACAGGCTGACCTGGACTCACTATGAAGCCCAGGTTTGCCTCAAACTCAAAGTGATTATCCTGCCTCAGCCTCTTGAGTACTGGGGTTACAGCAAGCACCACTATTCCCAGCCTATGTCAAACAATTTAAGAGCTAAGAGGGACCCTAAGAGATTGTGAAGTCCCTACTTTCATACAGAAAGTAGACGAAGGTGTACAGAACAAAATGTCAATATTGTAGGGCTTGTTTACATTATGGCTGTCTCCTGATCACTGAATTTCTACTGTATCACATACCTGTGATTAAAACAGACAAGTCCTCAAAATTTCCTCCCTCTTTACACAAATAAAAACCTCAAAGGAGAAAAAAATAAACCATCAATAGGTGAAATTTTTAGATAGTCAAGAAACTGAGGGCCAAGTTGATAGTGCAGCTCCTTAAGTGTCTGCCTGGCAAGCCCAAGGTCCTGAGTTCAATATCTGGTACAAAACAAGAAACTACATGGTAATGCTAGGTGTGGTGGCGCACACCTATTATATCCCAGCACTTGGAAGCTGAGGCAGGATTGCCAACTTGAGCGCAAGGGCAGCCTGGGCTACAGTGAGGTCAAGGCAGCCTGAACTACATATAGCAAGAACTTGTCTCAAAAAACACTGAATAGTAGACTAAATTTTAAAGTTTTATTGAAAATTATCTATTTCACATATCTTGCCATGTCTTGGCTCAAAAAACCTGTGGTTCAGCTACAGCACAGCATTCACTTCTATGAAATCTCAAGTTAATTTTTAAAAGTTATCAAAATAGTAAATACAATCTAACCTAATAACCACTAGATCAGATTCTCAGGATTCAAAAATAGCTCAAAAGGCAACACACTAACTTATACTTTGGTTCTTAATAAGTAACACTAGTAAACCTTCTTCTTGAAATAAAGTAATTTAAAGCAATCCAACAAAATCTACTTAACTGCTGTGTATTTATTATACGTGATACAATTTTTTTTTTTTTTTGGAACCGGGGCTTGAACTCAGGCCCTTGCGCTTCTTGCCAAGGAAGCGCTTATTCCACTGAGCCATCTCCGTGGCCCCTAGGTGATACAATTTTAATCTATGTATAACAGTACCCACATTTACATTTGCTTTCAAAGAGAAGCCTATTTGTGTATTACATACAAAACTAACAAAAGTGAACATAAACACTATCATAAAGATCCAGGTACATGTGGATTTTCCTAAAATGACTTATTATAATCCTTTATCTTGTTAGTTATGAAAGATGCATTACATTAAACTGAAAATTAACTTACAGGTTACTGTATCACTTAAAACATTTTTAAGATTTCATATTAACAAAGATAAAAATTCTCATTTAAAATTTCTAATCCTTAATAAAAAGAAAAAAAAATAAAATAAAATAAAATAAAATTTCTAATCTTCACCTCATTTTTCTGTTACTTAATAGATCAAATTATTCTTCTGAGAGACCATTATAAATATAGTACCTATGAATATTCAAACTTATGCCTCACATTAAAAAAATTCAATTTTTGTATGAGTGCCAACATAGGAATGCCAATTTAATACCCTATCAACTACATAAAGAACACCTTAATCTTGGCATGTGTGTTAAAGAAGCTGGGGCGGGGGGTGGTCTGGAAGATAGCTCAGTAGAATGAGCACTTCCTGGCAAGGGAAGGGTCCTGAGTTCAATCCCCAGTACCGCAAAATAAATAAATAAATAAATAACATAGAGAAGCTTGGGGATGGAAGACCGCTATCTTGGCTTTTTTGGTTTTGTCTCATTCTTAAAACATAGCTAAAGTGTAACGCCCAATTGTTTTACACACAAATACAAACTTGATCAAAGTGCACAAACTATTAAAAAGGAAAATAATCAAAGAAAGGCAATAAAAATATCCTATCACCTATTTGACTAAACGGATTGAGCTAAATGCTAATCAACAAATGTTGGTCCTTTCTACAAATAATTTCAGGTAAATTAACTTGCCCTTAAAGTCTCTGGCCAATCCACTACTATTGTGGACTGCTGGACTGTGTTCAATTATTTTGCTGAATTCACGCACTTATAGTATTTAGATGCCAATGGAATACCCATTTTTGACAGGACTAAACAAAAAAACGGGATACAAAGGAAGGACCATTTTGTATCCGTATATGCAGAATAGTTAGATATACAGCTACTTTCAATTAATTCAATGAGAAGAAAGATTTGTACTAATAGTGTTTGGTCAGGATATTCTGTCTGCATGTTGTACTATGGATAACCACTAAGAAGATAACAATGCACAATGTATTAATTATTGAAACTGTGCTATTAATCAGTTTTGAAACTGTCTCATTGATATTTCTCAATAAAATAAAATAAAAAATAAAGTCTCTTTCCATTTACTTAGTCTTTTTAACTTTTCCAACCTTATTATAATTAATACTTCCTCTGGTCAAACACCAATAACCTGATATTAATTTCTAGACTGTTTTAACTTTACATATACTTGTATGTCCTTAAAATATCAGCAGTTATATTTTCTTCGATCATGAATCTAGTTTTAAAACGTTAACATATCGGGCACATGGTATGCTAAAGCCCAGAATGTATCTATTGTACTGGAAAAATATTTCTACCTTTACTAGCAATTACTAAGCTTTAAATTAGAAATCTCTTAAATATAATATTCTACATACTACAAAACAACTCATTATTACACTAGTTTATAAACTAATGAAGATAGGTAAAACATTAATAAAACTAATATATGAAAATGCAGAATTTTAAAAATGTAGTTCTAAAAATTCTAAGATGAGGGAGTGCATTTAGACCATTTTTAAAATGTATTCTGTATCATTAAGGTTAAAGGATACACCTTTCAGACTAGAAAGACAATAGTGTTGATGTTTACTGCAGACTTAACCATAGGTTTAAAGCACCATTTTAATGGAAAATACTAACCGTCTTACTGTTGAAGATACAAATTGCAATATAAGTATTTTGATATAAGATAAAGGAAATTGATGGGTCATTTCTCATCTTCTAAGATACAAAAAAGTCCAGTTTGTTTCACCAACTAACTTTAGCATTTTTCTGCGCATATGTTGCTAAATATTCAATTTCCAATGGTGAGTTCCAATGCTCCACAAGAAATTATTTACTTACTTGCGATATAAAATAAGACTTTCCCCAAACATTTTCTTTATCCTTAGAGGTTAAAATTCCAAAGTCTCAGTCTTCAAAATCACATACCTTTAGAGGAAAACAAACAATATTCTAAACATTTTATTGATAAAGCAATAAACATCAAACAGGAATACTTAAAAACCTTCTGATTATATGAAAAAGTACTAAAATCCATGGTCAATTTAAAGTATTCTTCCCTATCTCCAATAAATGCATTTTTTTGAATATTTAGAATTTAAAATCACTCATGGTGTATTTATACTGTGGTATTAAAGGAAAAAATACCTTTAGTCCATGATCTTTCCCAAAATACAATATGCTTTTCTATTCCCAAAATTAAACAAAGGCTTAAAATCTTTTAGTGCATTGGCTATGTACATATATTTTTAATCTTATTAAATGAAGTTGGAAGGCTTTGAAAAATAATTTCTGATATGTAACTTTATAAAAATCATAATCACTGCTACTTGAAATGTAAATCATCAAAAAGCAAAACAGAAACCCAAGAATGTAATTTTTATGTCAAAGTAACAATTTGCCAGTTCTTACCTGAGATAAAAGAGCTGTACATATTCAGAACCACCAGCAACCAAATTAATTTTAATCTTGTAAGTTACCTTCAAAAAAAAAAAGGAAGATGACATCAATGTTTTTGATTTTTTAGTATTTGTTGGCCAAAAATTGTGTGATGAAACGATGAGAAAATATTCCAAAGACAAAATCTACGGGTAAATTTCAGAGAAGGCTCATGGTCACACAACCTGCGCATTTATAGCTGCAATTATTTTTTTTTATGTTTTTATCAGTCATTTCTTTCATCTTTTGGATATGTTCAAGAATACTGGAGATCATGGCTTTGAGATTTCAAAAAAATACAGAGAATTCAAGTCTTTGGACAGAGTTAAGACAGTGACCTTGCTTTTATTTTTCCTATTTTGATGCCAGGCAATAAACAAAAACAAAGGAAAAGTTTAGCACTTAAAAGACTAATTATCCTAAAATTTCCTTGATCATTTAAAGATGCCTTCTACAGTTAGGAGCAATTAAATATTAACTCGTCCAAGAGAAACTGGTGAAACTAAAATGGCCACTGGTTACTTTAAATTTTAAACCACAAGTTATCTGATCTCACCCACTGGGATATTAGCTTGTTCCTTTAAGTAAGTCTACAACTGTATCTCTGACCTTACATTTAAGCCAATGAATATTCTGTCTCTTTTCTAACTCATTTACCTTGTAAAAACATCTCATGATGCTAAACTACTGGCAATTATTTTTGAATTTTACTATCTAAAAATGATTCCGAAGAACTAGATTCTGAGTATTTAAAACCACTGCGGTGTTTAAATATCTCAAAAACGTTTCAGAAGCAAATTGTTACTTAAACAGGTTCTGTAAAACCAAGATATGCGCAACTGATGTAATATGTATAACTATATGAAACCTACCCCCCCAAAAAAATTTTTAACTAGAAAAAAATATCCATTGGAATACTGTGAGATAAACCAGTATCTTTGATATCAGATGACCATACTAGTTTTCCCAACAACATTTTTACGCAGATCTGCATCTTTAACACACATAAGCTCTACAGAATAAAAATATTTTACAATAAACAAAGGTTTGTGCGCACCTAATTTTTTCTTCAAGCCATTAAACCTAAATTCCCCTTCAAACATGCCTTTTTAAATTACAGACTATGTGGAGAACTCTGCGATTTCCTCAAACCTGTATTTTTAACACTACTCCGTTTCAAGCCCACCTAGATTTTTATACATGCAACAAATATGGCTCCTCTCCGTCGCCTATTACCGAGTGCAGTCCGACTTCAACGTTCACACGGGAAAGTAACTTCACCTAGAGACCTGGTGTCAGAATATTGCTTGGGAAAAGTTTTTCCATCACGGCTTGGGATACTACACAACAAGATTATGAACTTCAACTCTGAAACACTAGGAACTGACCTAAGTACGTGTTCACGTCCAGGTGGGAGAAGTTAGACAACGGCTCCCGACGACCTTTCGAAAAAGTATCCAGCAGTATATTCCACCATATTCAACGATCAGGATGTCAAAACGATTGTGTCGTAATTCCCAGCAAAATAAAACCATCCTAATCGAACGTCATCACCTAGCCCCGTAAGGATCGAACCCCCCTTCCATGAAAACACCCTGGGCGACGCGGTACCCTGGCTCTTCCTAATTCCTCCAACTTGCATTTTCAAAAGACAACCTTACCATCGTAAAGCTTTGGTAAGTAGCAAGGATCTCCGCATCCACAACCCTGCGACCGTTTTGAAAATCAGCTTTGAAAGAGTTAAAAGCCAACACCCAATGGGGGGGAAACCACAAGTTATATTTTTGTTTCAATGTAGTCAGGGCTCCATTGTTCTTTTAAAATTCAACCTCCAGGACCAGTTCCCACCTCACCGGAAAGAGATTAAAAAGCTCCTCCGATGGAGAACCGGAAAGGGGGCTTTTTGTTTCATCCTAAAGCTCCGGAGACACCGCAGGACGCGCGAGGGCTCCCGCGCGCCGGCCCGCCGCCGCCCCTCTCCCGGCGGGTCGGGGTCCCGCCGCGAGG